TATAAACTTCACAAGAACAAGGATTTTCATCTGTTTGTTTTCTTTACTATTTACCCTCCAGATACCTAAAGAATACCTACCACATAGTATATGTTCAATAAATATTTACTGAGCGAAGAAAGAAAAGCTTACAGGTTTTTCCCAAGAGCAACCAGGCAAAGAGCCATGCCATTAACTAAAATCAGTAAGACTGAAGAAGTAGCAGAATGAGATGCGAATGGAACAATCAGGAGTTCCATTTTGGCTAAAGTTTTAGATGTCTTCTAGATGTCAAAGCGCAAATGTCAAGACTATATTATATCTGAGTGTGATCTTTAGGGAAGAGATCTGTCCTGGAGAGAAAATTTTGGAAGCCATCAGCATGTAGTCATGGAATTTATTGTACTAAATAATAAAAATCTAAAGAGCCCCTGAAGGACATTTAAAAAAAAGATTGATTATGGAGATACATAAAGCATTTAAAATAACATTTACTAATAAAACATTTATTAATGGAAAGACTCAGTATCTTGAAGAGCCATTACTCCTAAAATAATCTAAAATTCAAGATATCTTAACAATTTCAATAAAAATTCCAATGTACTTTCATGGAACTTGACAAGTTGATCTTGAAAGTTATATGAACAAGCATAAAGTAAGAGCAATAAACAAACAAATAAACAAAAAACCACCACCAATAACAACAAAAAAACAAGGTAAGCCAATTTGCCTAGAGATATCAGATTTAGTATAAAATCATAATTAAGACACTGCAATACTGATGCAGGTACAAAGAAATAGACCAGTGGAATAGAATAGAGAGCCCAGAAAATAGAGCAACCCTATGACCCAGCAATTGCACTACTGGGTATTTACCCCAAAGATATGAATGTAGGGATCCAAAGGTGTACATGCACCCCGATGTTTATAGCAGCAATGTCCACAATAGCCAAACTATGGAAAGAGCCCAGATGTTCATCAAAAGATGAATGGATAAAGAAGATGTGGTATATATATATATATATGCAATATGGAATACTATGCAGCCATCAAAACCATTGTCATTTGCAATGACGTGGATGGAACTAGAGGTTATTATGCTACATGAAATAAGTCAATCAGAGAAAGACAATTATCATATGATCTCACTGATATGTGGAATTTGAGAAACAAGGTAGAGTATCATAGGGAAGAGAGGAAAAAATGAAACAAGAGGAAACCAGAGAGGGAGACAAACCATAAGAAACTCTTAATCTTGGGAAATAAACTGAGGGTTGCTGGAATGGGGTGACTGGGTGATGGACATTGGGGAGGGTATGTGTTGTGGTGAGTGCTGTGTATTGTGTAAGACTGATGAACTACAGACCTATACCTCTTAAACAAATAATACATTATATGTTAATAATAAATAAATAAATAAATAAATAAATGAGAGCCCAGAAGCTTGTATACTTTGAAATGTATTTTTTTTAAGATTTTATTTATTTATTGGACAGAGAGAGGCATAGTGAGAGAGGGAACACAAGCAGAGGGAGTGGGAGAGGGAGAAGCAGGCTTCCTGCTGAGCTGAGAGTCCAATGCGGGACTCGATCCCAGGACTCTGGGATCATGACCTGAGCCAAAGCCAGGCGCTTAATGACTGAGCCACCCAGGCACCCCCGAAATGTATTTTAATTTACCTATCAATCTATATTTACATATGGAATACTAGTAAATAAATTATACATTTGTTATATATGTATTATACATGTATAATGCATTTTATAAAACATGTAGATGTATGCATGTATTACAAATATGTATAGTATATACATATATGTGTATACAAATATATATAAAACAATAAAAATGTTTTAAAAAGTGTGTGCATGTGTGTGAAACAATGATAGCATTTTACATTACTTGGGAAAGGATCAACTATTTAATACATGATGGTGGCCCAATGGTTAGCACTGTAAAAAAAAAAAAAAAATCCCTACCTCAGACATAAAAATAAATTTTAGATGAAGTAAAGATCTAAATGTTAAATAATACTTCAGCCTTTTTGGGGGCACCTGGGTGGCTCAGTCATTGAGCACCCACCTTGGGCTCAGGTCCTGATCCCAGGGTCCTGGGATCGAGCCCCGCACTGGGCTCCCTGCTCGGCGGGAAGCCTGCTTCTCCCTCTCCCACTCCCCCTGCTTGTGTTCCTGCTCTTACTATCTCTCTCTCTGTCAAATAAATTAGAAAAAAAAAATACTTCTGCCTTTTTTAAAGAAACTGTGAAAACTATGTAACATTTTTGTTGGGAGAATTTCTTAACAAGGCACAAACCAACAAATCATTATACAGGGTAGATGCTCAATAAATATCTATCGAAGTAATTAAAAGATGGATCATTAAAGTTCCTAAAATCTTCAGTGATCAAAATATTATTTTAAAAGTTAAAAGAAAAGCTATAGTCAACAGAAGATATTTTTTAAAACCTAAACAATCTAGAGGGGGGTTGGGGGCATGCATTAGCCTGGTGATGGGTATTAAAGAGGGCAAGTACTGAATGGAGCACAGGGTGTTATACACAAACAATGAATCAAAAACTAATGATGTCATGTATGGTGATTAACATAACAATTAAATTAAATTAAATTAAAAAACCTAAGCAATGTAATTAAAAAAAAAAGACAACCTAACTAAAAGTAGCAAAGGATTTAGGCAATTCACAGAATTAGAAAACCAAATGGTTAACAAACATTTGAAAAATGTTCCCTTTAGTAATCAGAAAATTATAAATTAAAACCAATGAGATATATTTAATACTCTTCAGATTCAAAAGACACTTTAAAAGGTGACAGCATCAAATGCAATCCGTAGTATAGAGAAATGCGAACTCTCCTAGACCGCGGAAGGGGAGTATTAATGATTCAACCACTTTAGAGATCCCACGGCAGTATTCCAATTCCTAGTGAGATCTCACAGAAAACTGTCATCAGTTGTGAGATCTCAGTTGTAGGTCTTCTGGACCCCACTTCTCCAGCCAGTTTTTACTTGTTAATCAACATTAAGTCCAAAGGAGGAGTCTCCCTTACTGTTTCCTCAATATTCTTAGAGATGAAATTATCAGTAAGGTAAATCAAGAATTTAATAAATATACCACTTTTAGAAAGATGAGAATCTCAGCAGATATCCAGAGACTTGAAATCTCTAATCATTGTTATATTTCACATCCTTACAACATTTGTGATCTTTATGAGGAAGTAATTATCCATATTATCTCTCGATTATTCTAAGACAAGGTGTTTAAGATTGCCCTTAGGTATATACTGATTCATGGTTCAAGACACTATCCTAGAAATAATTCCCTAAAAATATGTTGCTTTTCAGATAACAAACAAATGAAAACTTCTGAATTGCAGACAAGAAAACATTTCTTGGCTTTTTTCAAACTCATGTCTTCTTTGAATAAAAGAGGGGAAAAGAAGTCATTCCTTTCATATTCTGAGATTTCAAAATTAATAATGACTAAAAATAAAATCGTTGGACAAACCCCTGCTTTGATTTCACACTGTACCTTTCTCTCACAAAATTCTGATATGGTCCCTTAGGGAATGTTATAAGAACCAGGTGCTAAGTAAAGAACTTGGTGCTTAGTAAAGAATAAATCATGACCTTAGGACAAGTCATCTTCTGTGTTTAAAATAAATATCTTAATATACTTTCATATATATAAAGGTCCAAAGTATTATATATAATTTTTATAGTTAGTTTAATGGAAGAGACAGCAACTTAGTTATCATACCTGTGGACACAAGGTTTCTAGGTGATTGGCCGCAATTTTGACAATTTTAATTCCATCTTCATTTGTTGACATAGAACAAGCAAGATTTGCCACCTTAAATACAATCCAAAATAATGGAAATTATTTCAGATTATTAAGGAAATGCAGAAACATTTGTTATCTTAAATAAGTTAGAGCATGTACATACTCATTGAAAAATCTCAGTGATAAACAACAGCTTTCTCATAAATGTCACTGCTATCTGTTTTATGGAAGTACTCAGAGAATCTATTAAAACAATTAACAACAAAGGGCTCTAGAAAATTGTTTAAAACAAAAAGGAAGACAGATGAGTGAATCAGTCAACCCTATCCAGTCTCTTGGTATCAATATCTAACCCATAATAAGATGCCAACTATTATGGTTTCCTATAGGACTGGAAAAAAAAAGTTTATCTTTGGATTGAATGCTAACAGGTTCTTGGAATCTCATACAATTATTATTTTTTTAAGTTTGTAATTGTTTTATTATTATTTTTTCATTCCCCAGCAGTCTATCATGCATACTTAAGTTGCATTAAGCATGACTATATCTTTGCTCATGTTTTATCCAGCATCAAATACATTACAAAGCTGGACAAATACAAGATAATTAATTTCTTCTTCCTGTTCTTGCTTTTCTACTACAACTTCATGGGCACTGTTTGACATTCCAGCAGTCAATTTGATTCAAGCATTAGCAACACGTAAGTTCCCTTATACATTACTCCTTTTGGAACTTGCACTGTTTTCCAGTGAAATGGGTGATCTTTTAAATAATCACCTTAAGGTCCATTACCTAAACCCAGTATTTACAGATACTTTCTTTATACCATGAAAGAGCCATGAGAAAGAGTATGGGATTCCTTGCCCTTCCTTTGACCCTCACCCTTACTCAACATTGTTCTTGCTAGCAGCTGAGTGTGTCCAGCTGCAATGTTTCCTCTGATCTACAAGTTACGTCGTTGTCTTCATCACTGCAAGGAAATAGCTTTTCTATCATTTTTCTAACCTTCCTAACGTCTCTGTTGGTTATTACATAATTCAACACATTGCAGGTTTTACTACTCAAATCCAAAATACATTCAGTTGCAGAAAACCACACTTTAGCTGCACACAATAGAAGCAGACAACAAATATATCCTTGGATCACAACTGTAGAGTACCACAAAATGTAACTTAAGTAGATTTATAGTCTGCTTTTTTATAGCATTACTTTTAATATGTGAACCATGAAACAATTCCTTGATTTGCCTTTACATGTAATGAAATAAAAGCCATACATTATTTAACTGTGGAAGGGCATTGTTCACTTTATGAATGTATATGAAAATGGCTTCCTTGACAAGGGCTTTTGTTGGCTTGAAGGTCACAATGCTTCGACTTTCATATCTGACGTACAATTAGCACACCTGTGAATTATTTGAAAAGGGCAGTAGTTTTAGCACGCCTTCCCGCCTCCAAGCCCCACTCACAGAAAGTATGATTCAGCAATCTAATCACTTTGACATGTCTTCTAATAATTTGCACTGCTCTGAAGAAAATCTCTATCTATAAATTTGAGTGCTGTTTCTTTTTAGTAAAATTTTAAAAATTAGAAATTATTGGCTCAATCTTCTGGTCAAATCAGATGAATGCTGGTTAATCCAAAGTTTAAAAATTACAAAAACATGCCCCAAATACTCTTTTCTTTATTTTTTAATGGATCATCTTTCTCTTTTTTTTTCCCCTTTTAAAAACAGACATTCTTGGTACTGGACATTTGCTGGACACCATGTTTATTGTAAGCCAATTCAGTGACTAACATAATGTGGAAATCATCCTAATCACAAAAGTTCTGTTTACATGAGTAGACTTAAGTTTTAGAAAATTCTCAATTGAAAATGCAACACAGCTAAATGTTTTCTACTCAAGTAATAATCATCCTAACACTCTGTCCTCCTTTATTCAGACAGACTTGAAATTATCCTTACCAGAACTGTTTTATGTCAGATAAATTTTCTAAATAATCAAGTGCTATTTCCAGGTTATGGCAAGTGGAGTTTTAGTGATATTATATACAAACAAATTTGAATTTATGAGATAGCTAGTATTCTGTGACAAAATGAAATAAAAGTTAAGTGATAGAAATAAAATCTCTTTACATTTCTAATTTGAGTGACTTGTGACATATTTTCCAAAGCTGCATCAATATGTAAATGAAAGCTAAATTTCTTCTAACAATATTCCTAAGTTCTGTGTGGCTTTTTAGGAAGCCAGTTATGTTTCTGAGCACAGCAGGAAGTCAACTCTCTACTAATCAAAGAAAGCAAAATGCAAATAAAATATTTTGTAAAACTGAGATATTTGGACATCTGAGATCCTTTGTACAATCTAACTTTGACAACATTTCAAAGTCTGTGTAAAGCTTCATTATTCAAGAGATCCTTTTGGAAAGTTTCTTCCCACTAAGGGAAAATTAGGGCATAGGAAGTTTTTAGAAACAAATAGATCTTGAACCTAGAGTCAAAACAGGCTTGAACCTGATTTCCACAATTAATAAGCATTTGACCATGGGCAAAGTGTTAGCTTCTCTAAGCTTATTTTCTAACCTGAAAAATAGGTATGATAATACCTATGTCACTGGAGTGCTTTGATTAAATGAGATAGTGCATGGAGGTGGCCTGAAGCTACCAGGTAGGCTTGACCAGGTATGAATTTCCTTCCAGTTCACCTATCTCTCTACCAATGCAGGGTGGGAAAGAGCAGTTAGTCTCTTAAGAGGTTTTACAGAATTAAAACCTTACGGGAGGCTAAAGAAATTTGACAAAATGTCTAATCTGAGAGACAAACTGAAGCATTTTTAGGACTCATGCAGGAAATACATAGTATCTTGATATAACTCAGTGGTTGGGTGGGTTGGTAGGTCCCCAGGCAAACATGAGTGTGTATGCCCTCCCTAAAGGGATTAGAACTCTTTAAAACAAAATGAAAAGCAAACAACAACATTTCCTTGACCAAAGGAACAGTCTGTTGGCTTTAGTTCATAGGTCAGCAGTTTGTGAATTCTGAACCCTATTCTCTAATCCTCTATTATATAGATAGGAAAACAAAATCAAACAGGGAGAAGAAACAAGCTCAAAACATCCAATGACAGGGAGACTATTAAGTAGAGCTGTGTGTGCTCTTTTATGCCACCCCTGAATTAAAAGTATTGACAAAAGTTCCTTCACTGAAATAACTTTCTATTGATATTGTACTACATTCTTAACCAAGTCCATGAACATCAGTCTAAATTATCCTAAGTAAATGGAACTAAAGGCACTCAGGTAAATTCATAAGTTTGTTAAAAGAAAAAGGCCAGAACACTATATTCTTTCATTTTTATAAAAAATTAAACTGGGGCACCTGGGTGGACCAGTTGGTTAGGCATCTGCCTCTTGGTTTTGGTTCTGGTCATGATATTGGGGTTGTGGGATTGATCCCCACCCCTCCCTCTGTCCCTTCCCCTGCTCTTGCCCTCTCTCTCTCTCAAATAAATAAATCTTAAAAAAAAAATAAACTATATCATTAAAATCATTTCTGATACTGTAATAATTTCAAAAGATAAATTAAAAAATCTTTAAACAGCAACATGTCATGTTACTGAGAATGAATTTATTTATGTATATATTTTACATCAGTGCCTTTCACGTGAACCTCTGTCCTTCTCACCAGTCCTTCTGCCTCTAAGATGTATGTCCATTCTAGACCTTTCAAACTTGACTAAATGTACTACTCTATCTGGATTGTTAAAAAAAAAAAAAATTGTAGACAACAAAGCCTGGTCAGATGATTCCTAAACTAATTAACATTTGTTATCATGCTGTTGATGTTTGTCTTCTCTTTCTGGCTCCTAATTCAAGTTTTGTATACCAATTTTTATGTTCCTGTCATTCTTTCTATTTGCTGAACTTTGGTTCTAGCTTTCACACAGCATAGAACATGGTGCCCAGGACTCCTGGGTGGTTCAGTTGGTTAAGTGCCCGACTCTTGATTTTGGCTTAGGTCATGATCTTGCAATTGTGGGATTGAGCCCCATGTTGGTCATGCTTAGTGTGGAGTCTGCTTCAGATTCTCTCTCCATCTCCCTCTCATTCACTCTCTCTCCCTTTCAAATAAATAAATAAAATCTTAAAAAAAAAAAAAAAGGAACATGGTACCCTTCACTCCCTAACCTATGGTCTTAAATGAGAAATGAATCATTGAACATTATATCAAAGACTAATGATGTACTATACGTTGGCTAATTGAATTTAAATATAAATAAATAAATAAATAAATAAAT